AATATATATCTTTCTCTTATAAAAAAAAAGTATGGATCTAATCCTTCTAGGTGGTTCCCAATTGTTGGATCAAAGACACTTTCAGGAACCCATGGAGAGCTATTGTCAGGTTTATTGTTGGGTATGGTCATATGGAGCGGTGATTTTCTTTAGGGGGACGGTTGGCATCCCCTAACATCTCTTTCCTAGTTTTTATCATTTGTCCTGCTTAAATTTGCGCCCATTGCTTTGTTATTGTTCCCCCTAGAGATTCTCAACCATTCAACTTTGGTCTCAGTGGTCCATTGTCAGATCGTGAATCTTCAGATGTATCTTTGATCTTGTCCTTGCTAGCTACTTACTACCTTCAACACCGAAGTTATGGATATTCAATTTTGGTCTCCTAGCCCGTCCAGGGATTTCTCTTGCAGCTCCTATTTTTATATTCTCTGTGGGTGTCCCTACAGGTTCTTTGTTCTCCTTGCTCAGGAAGGTGAATCCTAAAGGTCATATTCTTTGCCGAAATATACCCACGAGAGGACTAATACCATGGATCGCATTTAGCGATCATCTTATGTTTCAGTGGATTTGTTCTTTGTATGCTCTGGATCACGTTCTTAGAGTGCCAATATGTTTCAGCGATTCGGGAAAGCTTCTTGGTGAAACTTTCAATGTCCAGTTGGTTCGTGGCAGTTCATGTAGGCTTATGTTGGAGGAGATTTCGTTCCATCCCCTCTTCATGATAGAAGGGCATCTATGTAGCCGACAGCTTTTTTCGCAATCTTATGAAACATATGGCTTTTATGCGTTCCCACCCTACACCTGTAGGATGGTTCACTCTCGAAAGGACTATAAAAGGATTGGACAAAAATAGGAGTCTTTAGTGATAAGGAAAGTTCCTGGGAGGAAGTTTGGGGCTTGGTTAAGTTCAATGCCTTCGTTAGGGATTCCGTCACTAAGGACTTTAGTGCTTTATCTCTCATTTTATTTGAACTGGAGCCCTTTTTTGTAATTTATTTGGTCTTTTTTGCTGTTTTTCTCTTCTCTTCTATTTTGTCGATTGCCTCTTGGCTCCTTTTTGACTTGGGCTTTTCGTACTGCCCTCTTGTATTCTTTATTTTTTTCTCAATTGTCATATTTTTTTTTTGGCTGAATTGTTCAGGAATATGAAGGTGTTTCTCTTAAGTCTTATAACAACACAACTCCATCCAATTGTCAGTTATGTGGGCATTTCTCTTTCAACAACACGAAAGCTCCATCCAATTGTTACATGGGGTTCAAAGTTAGAATTGTATAGAAGAATGCAGTGATAGCTATTCTCTTGGTGAGTGAAGGGAACAAATGAAAAAAAAATTAAGATAAATTAAACGAGGTGGAGGACTTTGGGAGCAAACTAGCTTTCTTACATATAGTTGATGTTTGTGTACCCTCTATAAACTTTTCTATTATAATCATTGTTTTTTCTATCAATAACATTGCCAACTAGAGAACTTTCATATCTTTTCTGTCTATAATTCGTAGTGTGGTTTTTATATTTAAGGGAAAAAAAAAAGAAAAAGAAAGTTAGAGATATCCTTTTTGTCAAATGTTGTTTAATGTGGTGCTTCCTGTTCAGTTTCCGTACTTCAAACAAATTGTGTTAGGGAATTTAAGAAAAGAAGCCTAAGATCTGTTGTTGTAATGAAAAAAGAGCTCTTCTATGGAGATATTCCACAATAAGGACATAACAAGAGTTCCGGCAAGGGTGTCTCATGAATATTTTGTATCATTATTCACCCTTCATGATTATTGCCGGTTGAGTACTTATCTTCCCCCTCCTTTTGAACTCTTCCTATATTTATTGAAGATTTATGGTTTATCTATATATACATATATATGTCCTCAGTTCCTTTATCATCTGTTCTAGGCACTAGTAAGGTCTATACTTCAGTGTGTATTTTTTATCCAACCTATATAATATCTCTACTTTAATAGAAGACCCGTACTGTATTAAAATAATATTAAAAAAAAAGATCCCTAATGTCAGTAAAACAAGAACTAAGATTACCATATCAATATGTTAGTTCAACTTTGACATTTGATTCTTTTTTACAATCATAAACTAATTCTCATTAAGGAACTTTGACATTTGATAAATTGATTCAAACCAAAAAAATATCAAATCCTCCATTGAAGTCAAATGGAGAAACCTGAAGTAAAAATCTTGTGCAGCAATTACAACTTAATATCAAAGAGAGATCAACTCAAGAACTCATCATACCATGTAGTCTATGCACATCTGTCGAATCAAATCATACGCTTCAGAATCCCCATATACTTGATCTGCAACAGCACGAAATAGGCAATTCCCATCCTCCAGCATTCTTTTAACTTCTAAACCCTTTACCCGCCTAATTTCAATCTCAAATTGCCTCTCTCTTTCCTGAAATAACGTCAAACGCATCATATACAATGGGTCAGTACAAGGAGTTTATTACAGAAAGTGTGGTACTATAAAATTTTTCCAACATTCCACAGCACAGTAATTGTCAGATGTAGTGACAGCATGACATTTTATAAACGAACACCATGCTTCCAAAAAAGACAAAAATTCTCGTACTCAAACGACAGGAAAATGCTTAAAATTTTTATGGTAAAAGTATCCAAATACCTAGATAAATGAATCCCCAAACAAGGGGCAAAAAAAGCCTTATTTGATACTGATAGTCAAAAATTAGACAAACCTTAACACTGATTATGAGTTGCATGAACTATCATCTTTAACTACTAAAGCACAATGTATCAGGGGAAACCACTACGAAATAGAGAAAATTACATCTTAGCATTAAAAAAAAAAAAAACATTTCAGAGCTTCAAAATATATTTAGTCTAGAAAAAAACAAAGAGGTAAACCAAGAAAGCGGCCAGTTTACTTCAATTACCAACAACCTTACCAGATCATTATAGGACACAAAACAAGAGTTCTGCTCATCAGCACTGTTGTAACCCTCGCTATCAACATGTGATCTTGGAGATGAAGGCCGTGACCCAGTGAGGGAGGTCCTAGTTGAAACAACAGGCCAGGCAACACTGCTTCTCGAGGATCCAATTCTACCAGTATTTGAACTTCCTAAGACATGTCTCCTAGTGTTTGAGCTCACTGAAGAAGGTTTGAGTGGTGGGGCTGGGGGTGGTGGAGGTGGTGAATTCCCTCGAATAGTCTGTGAGGAATCCCCCTTAAAGCACTCATTTTCAACTACATTCCTCTCAGAAATTTGAAGGTGATCCGATACAATTCTTTGTTCCCCTTGATCCACAATATCATCTTTAACAACCTTCTCCTTGTCTCCAGAAAGTTCATCTCTCAAAACTTCCATCTGATCATTACAAGAACCTTCCATAAAATGTAAAACATCTTCTGTTTTCGCTGCCTTGCTCTCGCTGTTTGCAGTGTCGAAAAGCTCATCAACAKCAGACTGTTCCTGTAAATTCTCTCCAAGTTCCTCATCTTTCAAAGCTGGCGGTTGAGAAGTAGAAACATGTTGTTCTGGCCGGAACGATGAAGAAGCAGGAGCAGAAGATCGGTTAGGGTTTGTAGAAGAAGAAGAAGAACCTCGCTGTATATAAACCTTAGTCATTGGGCTCGTTTATTATGACCCCAAGAAATCAGAAATCCAATCCAAGCTCAGAGACTCAACGCAGTAGACTGCATGGGTTTGTCACGAGTTCTTGCCTTGGGAGCAGTGACGCCCAACCCTTGGCTGAATATATTCTTCCAGCCCAGCTCCTTCTGCTCCTTGCAAAACAATTTCTGCATTCCCCTAAAAATGCTCATCAGACCCACACCTCGAACTTTAAACAACAAAACCCTCTTTTAAGTAGTCGAATTTACCCGGAAATGATCAAGAGAGTCGCCTTCCACAAGTCCGAGCTGCAAATCAACAACAACCATAATACATCACAAAACAAAATCAATCAAAAAGGAGAATTCAGCACCGATAAAAACAATCCCGATTCTTGAAAAATGGAAGAAAAGAAAAGATCCGATTCTTGGGAAGTGGAAGTAGGATGGTGACCTGGAGGAGAAGAAACGGGGGAATCCCAGAATGTTGGATCTGCGAGAGGAGGAGTCGAGAAGAAAGGAATTGAAATGAGAAATCAGTTAGGGTTTTTGCAGCGAAAACTTGGGGGCTAAGAAGAGAACACCACAGTATTTATATATATAAACATAAAATTTTGTAGAGAGAGAGAGAGAGAGATTGAGGGGAAGAAGAAGAAGGGGGAGAAAATGGAACAGGGGATGCCCTGCCCCTTTTTAACGGTGAGCTTCTCAGCATGAGAAATCGCCACATGACGTGGAAACTGGAAACCGCGCACGTGGCAACTTCGTCTCAACCCGCACGTGCGCATTTTAACTCGGCCCAGTATCATTCTAATGGGCTCGGTTCTTTCTTATTTTTCTTAATGGGCTGGGCCCAGTACTGTATTTTGAAACGTGATTATTTTTATTTTAGTTTTGTTTGCCAAATCTCAATGAAAAACTGTTTAATATAAAAGTGAATTTCAAGAAATTTATTGGGTATTGTGTTACGTTGAAATTGTGACAAAAAAAAGGTAAATTAACAGACAAAAACAACTACTTTTTTTAGAGTACAAGAACTAAAATGGAAAATTTGAAAGTATAATAACTAAGATGGGAAAAAACGGAAAATATAAGGACTAAAATGTGGACGTTTTGAATATTCATGACGACCAAATTAGTATTTCAATGTAATAATTTCTAAACTTGAGTTTATGATTTAAGATTTTTTTAATTTAATAACTTGTGAAATGGGGATTAGAACTTGCCAATGATATATGCCTATCTCATATTTTTTACAATAATTTATAGGGGTTATTGTATTTCTCTTCTAGTTATAATAATTCTTTCCGTCAAACTTTGATTTTGTAGCATAAGGACCAATAATTTTTTTTTTGCAATATATAAGGACCAATAATTGCATATGCACTTATTATTATTGTTTTCTTTTCTTTTTTCGCAAAGGTACTTATTAATCCATTATTCTTGTCATAATTATTAATGTTGCAAACAAAAAGAGAGAAAAAAAAAAGCAAGATACTCCATACAAATTATATTATATTTTTTCAGGTACTTATGTCCATAAATATAACTCCTTGAGTCTATATGAAAATAAATAATATCAAGGATGACCATTATTAATAATTTAAGAAATAATAGAGAATAAATATATGACAATATCATAGGAAGTTCAAATTCCAACCCCCAAATTTGAAAGGAAAATAAATATATTCAAAGGAAAAGAGAGAACTCACAATGAAATAGAAGAAATAAAGCCTAATAAAAAAGAAAATTGATCTTCAAAACTAAGACTAATTGGGTCATAACTCATACCAATGACGAAAGTTTGAACCTACTAGCTTGAGCATAACTTAATTGATTAAAACATATCATTAACCCAAAAACCGAAACCGTGGATTGAGAATTTTATATTTCTTTCATATTTTGTGTCTAGTTTTCACTCTTGTTCTATATTTTGTCCAAAATGAGATATGGAACTATTCAATTTTCGGAAAAGATGCTGATGTAACACAGATTTATCAATAAACCAAGATCACCAGTCAAACTCATTCAATAATTTCTATATTTGTAACCAATCTCCAGCAAACCAATGGTGAATTTCATATTGATTGTTCCAACCGTGGCTTGTAACAAAACCATTTAAGAATTTGCTTATTTTTCTCATATAAATGAACCAATTTACAAGAAATATATATTCTACCATACAGTATAAAAATTTTCCTCAACAAAATTCAAGAGCTTCCAGAACTGAGGAAAACAGCAAGCCAAAGCCAAAGCCAAAGCCTCTGCCTATAATACAAGCCGCACTAACAAACAGCTGCTGCTAGCTTCATTATTCTTTTTTTTTCTCAATATTTGTCTAAAAATTGGATTCGAAACCACCAATGCTTCTAATCTCTGTTCCTATGTGCACCATTGTACAAATCTAATGCTCAAAAGGTGAAGGCCCCATATTTTACTGACAAATGAAGAGTAAATTGTGTATAACAGATATCAACAGGCTTCCTATGGCCGTATTCTCCAGCCACGCCTGGCTAGTTCTTCACGCACCCGAGTAGCTGCTTCTGCCGTGTCGTTCAGTGGAGGATAACTCCAGCTCTCTGAGATCTGAAATGTTAAAACAGAATATATGAAAGGGGCATCAAACTTCCATTGGTCAACATCATAAGTGATGAGTATTCTCTTGACTGGTGAACTTTGATTTGGCATAAAACAGAAAAGCCACCCAATCAAGATATTCTTTTCTTCAACTTTGTCACCAAGCAGAAAAAGATAGCAAACGCTATCAATTATATGAAAAAAAGACAATAATATAAAAGCTTTGAAATCAAGGCTTTTTTAATGATATAATATAATATCCATAACTTTCTAGCAGTACACTGAAAAGATTCTCAAAAAGATATCAGAGTTCAGAACAAACTGATACTAAAGCATCTTAATCTTGCCATGGTCCATGCCTCCGAGGAAACATGCTGACTCAGACTGAATAGAATCAAAGTTCTAAAGGGAGTAAAAGAACAAGAGAGCTGATCTTCATAAAAGACAGGATCTCAGACAACAAAACATGTAAATGGAAAGAGAATCTGAATTAGTTTTTGTGCGGGAGGGGGCTCCCTATGCCCCGTAGCGCTGTTTCTTCCTTTTTGTGAGTAATACATACACAGGTTTCATATCCACAAAAAAAAAAAAAAAAAAAGGAATAAAACGGGGAGAATCGGATGATAAATTTTCCGAGGACCAGATAATAAAGATTACCTAAAGACACATGTCTGTACCGATATAGTTTCTGAAATCAAGGGGTGTCCTTTGTGAGGTTTCTTTATTTTATTTTCATTCTACGCTTATTTATCATTGTCACTGAAATGACTGTATTTGGGTGGGTAACCTTGTCATGGTAACACAGATTGTTGAGGGAGCGAATGACATGTCAGCAACTTGCAAAAGTCAACATGTTAGTCAACGTCACCAGATCATTCAACGAACGTTAGTCCACCATAGTTCCCTCAATATATATATACTCGTTAAATATAAAATTTTCCCATGCTAACTTCATGTTCGAAGAATTTGCTTTAAGATTAAGATTTTCTCATCTGTACTCTTTTCTTATACCAATTTTAATGTATATTTCATCAATCCCATTCATTTCTATTTTATACTTTTTTAGAAATTCAAGATATTTAGAACATGGTTTTTGTTTAAATTAGTGTATACTGTATACACATATAACTACACTTGGAAATAAAAGTATTAAGGACAGCTTCTGACTTTAATTAAGCAAGTGTTAGATTTTTTTATATGATAACTAAAATCAATTTCATAAGACTTTGTGATATCCATTACATTTCTTGAAACATCCGTGTACAAATATCCATAAATCTAGGTCATCAACATTTTCCTCCTGGATTTGTCTAATTGTAAATATTAAAAAGACCCTGTTTAGAGGAAGGACTTCTCTTTTTCCTTTTTTCAAGTACTTAATGAAGTGTCAAACTTGCAGCTACAAGCTATGCAAACACTATGAATTTGAAAGTTATATAGGCACACTGTCTAATTAATTCTAAAGTCTCGGGACTAATTAGGAAGGTGTCTGAATTAGTGGCACAAGACGAACTAGACAAGAGCAGAGCCAAACAAGAACCTTAAAATGTAACAAATTCAGAACATTCATTCCCTTCTCCACGTTAGAATTTAATTTTGAAACTTTGATTAATTAGATAACCGATCATGCATTAAAAATAGAGGGAAAAACATCAAGAGATGTGTAACAGCAGAGTCACTATGAGGCATCAAGAAATAAAAAATCACTTACATCCTCAGAGCCTGTAAATGGTCGGATGACTCCTCTCTCTTTCAAAGATTTATGGAACGCAGAATACTTCCACTTACAGCGCTCAGTTCCAATTACATAGACAGGCTTCCTGCAATAAAAACAGAGACGGGAATGATCAACATAACGAGGTTAAGAAATGGAAAAAAGAAATTTGAAAGCGGGGATTAATCATGAGATGGACAATCATACCCAGTACTGCAAACCTCGCTTATCATGCTAACTGAATCTGCTGTTACAACAAACGCATCTGCCCAAGCTAAATGGCCCATGTGCGGATTCGGCTCTGAAGAATATTAATATGGAACTACTGAATCAAATTTACAGATATGGCTACAATAAACAAAACATATCAAACTCATATAATAGATAATCATGAACCTTGTCCACCCCAGATGTGAACTTTTGGATTATCCCCAAGTTCTTTCACGACAACATTATACACCTGTTAAGAAAGCACAAGGTATAAGAAAGGTCACCGATAGAAAATAACTAAGATATTTTCTCAACCCTACCTTCTTAGGAGTTCTGTCCGAGAAGGATATTCTGACACTTCCACAGCTTGCAAGAACGCTCAGCAAACTGGTTACCAACTGCTTTGCAAGATCCACACCATACCAACAGCAACCTGCAGAAAATCTAATTATAACTCAAGCACATTTTATCTATAATGTCCACTATCAACACGATCACCAACAAGAATGTAGTGAAAATACAGAGACCTATATACATAAGTGTTCATTTTTTCAGAAAAATGTATCCCGTGGTCTCTACTATTGATATAGGAAGAAATTTTTGCACACGTCAATATAGGTCCACTTATCCACCTACCCTACATCCTAGCAACTTGCACCTCCTATATCATGAATTGTGTCTAGTAGGCAAGAGGAAGAGAAAATAAAGTGAAGGTGGCACAATGAGCCCAGTATAAACCTCCTTGGGGAAGTTTTCCATCACATATTAGTGAACAAAAGGGGAGAAAACAAAACAAAAATATGCAGCTCCAAGGCACATTGGAAAAAGAAGATAAAAGATTTGGATAATGGAGGCTACAGGTTTTCCTACATATACCCAGGACTTCTTACTGAAAATCACCCTAAATTCTGCATAGATTATAGTTATTGTACTCTCTGCTCGTAACAAAATCTCTCAAGACCCAGCACAACATTCCTGACGACATTCCTAGCAACATTCACAGCCTTGAAAAACCAGGTTAAGTGCTCCAGCACCATAATTCTCTCAAAAGTTAAAAATACAAACAACAAAACAATGAGAAATTTAACAGTATATAAATTATTTGTTCTATGGTTTATTCATGGGTGACATACATGTTAAATTTCACTCAAATATAAACAAGTGTTCTGTTGAATTTCCTCCATCTGTATATTAGTTGTCCATTTTTATGGCAATAATTATGTTTCTGCAAATTTAATTCATTCCTTATCTTTAGACTCTAGCTGGTCTTTGTTTATGTCAGAGGACTTTGTATTACTTTCATATTATGGCATATGATATACTCTATAATATAATTTTTCTCAAATCTTGTTTAGTTGGTATTAGAGCTAAAAGAAACCCTAGTCAAAGTTGGACCTTTGATGCACCTTTTTTCTCCAATGCCCGTTTCTCCTACATGCAGTATTCTCCAGCATGCAATAACCAACCATAGTGCACAAACTAGTCTGCATAGAGAATGATGAAAATTTCTTCGCGTCATGTTTGCACCGTCCAAAAATAAGATTTCATCATTGTCATTCATCCATGTTCAGACAACTGTCTGAGTATTTGGGCTACCTTGTCTGAGCAGTCCAGTTGTGTCCTCGCTGGCCACTAATCACATCTGGTCAAACCATACTTCTAACCTCATTGCAATGTCTGAAGTAACTTCTGAATCAACTTCGTTCTCTGTAACTGAGATTTATGAGAATGGGACCATTAATCCCAATTCCCAACAGCCACCCAGACCAAATAATCACCATTCAACTAAATGGAGACAACTTTACTTGTTGGTCTCAGAGTGTTAAGAGTGTATATTCGTGGACCATTAGTTCTTCCATGACTTGTAGTTATCTTTATCCCTTCTATGACTTTCAAAATATTGAATATAATATGGGGCTTCTCAAACCAAGTTATTCTAAGAAATGTTCTCCAGATAATGCACAATTAATATAGTCAGCGACAGACCTGAGTTTAGTCAAAAACACATACCAACAGCTCAAAATTTACATATATATCAAAATGCAAAAATTTTCATTTAGCATGCTATACAAAATAGTAATACACTAATGGTTAAAGTAATATGACCCTTACAAGCTAATAAACAAGGAATAATCTTTTTTTAATAGTAAAGAATTGATTATCAACAAGGTAAGCTTCATGTTTTAAAAACAAAAGGAAAGGGGATAACGGATAAATTGATAGTGAGTATGATGCCCCAATAGATTGAGAAACATACTTGTAGGCCCTCCTATGTTGACCACCAATAAGGGTTTCGGAAGAGGAGCAAACTCATCGTGCCATGCACTAGCTGCACTGCGTAATGCAGCAAAATCAATCTGATGAAGGGCTCCAACAGTCAAGACCTGTATTTAGAAATTTTAGAACAGACTGTATTTTGTCAATTGAAAGAAGAAAACCTGACAGTATAAGCCCAAAAATTTTTATCGAAAGAATAACGAAATATATACGGTCAGCACACTTACCACATGCTGATCTGGTGGTTCACGTGGAGTTATCCACTTCTTCATAAATCGAGGGACTTGCTCTTGTGCTTGAGAAGTTAAAGGATAATAATCATGATGAGGAGTGATGACCATGTCGAACCGATTCAAATGCAACCTTGGATGTTGTATCTAACCCCAAAAAGAAAACAAATAAATATAAGGATTCGGAACTTGAGTATTCTTCGAAAAATTATCCACTAATCAAATACCCAAAACATAAAAAACAACATAAGCATCTTTCCACTGTTAAGCAGCTATATTAAAAAATGGATAAAACTTGGCTCCTCATTGGTAAGGAGAGCAACTTTGTCCTTGCCGTCGTTAGATATTTGACAACTCATTATTTTTTAAATTAAATTTTTGTTTTTACATTTCTCTTTCTTAGTTGTCAAATATTTAATGGTGGAAAGGACAAGGTTGCTCCTTACTAGTAAGGAGCCGAGTTTTATCATTAAAAAAATTATGCATGTGAAGTTTTGTCAATGTGGACATGTCCAAGAATGCTGAAGCGTACTGTAAGTTTGTACAAGTTTTTAAAGAGTATGAAACTCAACTTTTATTAAACGAATATGCAAGTATGAAGAGGTACTTAAAAAAAA